TTTTTCCAAATAAGATTGAAAGCAGCCTGCTAGTCATTACCAATCAACCTCATTGCCATCCTTATCATTCCATTGACATTAGGTCAATGGAGAAGATTGGCGATTGGCCAAGCAAGGCTCTGCTAATGAGACTCAATTTTTTTTTTTTTTTTAACATTTTCACAGACGAAAAGATGTGATAAGAAGTCTCTGCTTATAATGAGGACTGAGTGCCAATCCTGCTCACTCAACTTTGGAATCAAGTGCCCAGATGGTTACACCAAGGTCACCAATGGCTCCATGGGGGTTCGAGACTGCAGGTACTCATTATGAGAAAATAAGTGTGCTTGCGTCTTGGAACTCAAGGGATTGTGAGCCTAAATAGAAACTTCTTGTCTTAAAAACTACCAAGCATTTCCATGGTTTTCTCTTACTCTAACACTACATGAGTTCAAACCTAGGTAACTCACACCTATGACCTTGAGTCTAAAAAATGTATTATTACTGATTCGCATTTCAATACAAAACTGACTATGTTGAATTGCACATACACATTCTCCTTTCATTTTGTGAAAATCTGGGTTTCGTTTCACTTGGAAAAGATTCTAATCAGAACATGTTATAAAGCCTTGGGTCTCATATTCATCTTACTAACTAGCAGCTATGGACCCTGATATTAATTAGAATCCAAAGAAGGGAGACAAATGCATTACAGCTTCATTGCATTGTATGTGAGCGCTGCATTCCTGAAATTCTCTTACGATTCAAAACTCTCATAATTCAAAGCTAATCCTTGCAAAGGATGGCAAGAAGTTCTGCTCACTAGCTTAATGGATGCGGCCACGCAGCTCAAGTGCAAACACAATTTTTTATTTCCTCGTCTACTAATTTAAAAATTAAATAGTACTCAATGAGTTTGTTTTCGATTCAGGGATAAAGGACTAGAATGACTTCTTATTTTGTATAAAATGAAGCATTAACACTGTTATATCTAGAAATACTAAAGTCGAATCCTGGAATACGCCATCCATGCAGAGATCCCTGTATATAAACAATGGTGTTTAGCCTCTAAAGAACTGCTATTCCAGAGCTGTATCTCAGCTGGTAGAAAAACTGTTCTAAGGAACTCGTTATATCTCCCTCGAGGAAACTGTGGCAAATATTACTCACTACACTATACGTTTCTCACAGAAATTTCTACGTTTACAGTATCTACATAAAGATGTGCTAATCCTGAGCAGTCAGTTTGTTTTAAATCCACATATCCTGTGCATCACATAACTCATGATCTTTCTCTTCTTGCATTGGCTGCTAGGATACTCTGTGACGAGTACAAAGTGCGCTTTTAGCATGCGCCTAGAGTCTAACATGATTTTTTCCATCTGCTAATTTCACTTTTGACATCGCTTTAGATATTTCACCCCTATTTTCATTGTGCCTTGATTGTTTTCATCCATTTCTTACCATTAAATATGTCGCGATTATGCTTTATTCTACCTAGAAAGTAAAATGTGTTCGATGTATACATTTTTAAATCTAGGCAAGTGTAAAGATCTAAATAAAAATCTAGGGCAATCCCACTGCCCATAATTAACTGTATTGCTCTGATTATGGGGTTAATGTCCTCTCTTTTCCCTTCAAGGTATACCTTTGAGGTCAGAACGTACTCGCTGTCTCTCCCCGGATGTCGCCACATCTGTAGGAAGACCTATCTCCAGCCTCAGTGCTGTCCAGGCCACTGGGGCCCAGATTGCATGGGTAAGTGGCCCATCACTTTTCTTGGATTTTGATACTTGCTTCTCGGTGTCCCATTTGACAGAAAATTGAGAGGCAGGAGACCCAATAAAAGGAAAACATCAGCATCTTTTTCTAGAAAGTCACATTTCCGTCTATATGTAGAAAATCTTTCTTGCCCTCTCAGCTTTTCTAAAGAAATCTGCTTTCCTCCAGTTAGAGATCTCTCTTTTGAAAGAACTCCTCTACAATTCAGAAAAAGGGACGATTGCGAGGAAATCCATTTTTACAAAAAAAGATAACTGACCATAGAGAAGAAGTAAGAATACTGGGATCTTATGACCCCAAATACAATTTTCTTTAAGAAGAAATTTTATTACCTCTCAAAGACTATAATTATTGTTTGGCAACCAAAATAATCATTAAATCTTCTAAAAATTTAACTCTCAGGATGGAATAGCAAAGTTTTTAATGACCACATTCCACTGAAAGAAAAACTACTAGTTTTTCTAGTCTGAGTCAATGGTACAGTTAAACTCCTGTGGTCAAGCATAGCATCTGACGGCTGAAATTGAACTTCTATCCCAATTATAAATGTTTACACTCAAGTAGTGACTTTGTACTTGCTCTGACATGCAAATTATATGAATTCTTGGATAGTAAAAAAATCAGGCATTTTAATTCATGAATTTACCATTTGTTTTCCATCTTCTAAAACGTAATAAAAAACATCTTAAGCATCCACTTAAAGGGAGAGATTAGTTCTCTTTTGCTTTGTTTTTTTTCTAATTAAAATAATATAAGCAAATCATACACAGCTTGTAATGTTTAGGAAAGTATAAAGAAAGAAAAAACAGCAACTTATATTCTGTCACACGTAGGAAACCGTAAATAGTTTGGCTTATTTCCATAGTCTTTTCTTCCATATGGCTTCTAAATAGTTGAGCCCATAGTATATGCATAATGTTCTCTCCTGTTTCTTTTTGTAACTAATGATTAGGTGAATGACAGCTTCCATTCACTCAACATCGATGACATTAGTTACTAGAGAGGTACTTGGCCTATATTATCTAATTTAATTCTTAAAACAAATCTCTGAGTTAGACAATTTTATCTCCATTTCGTGTATGAGGAATCAGAGATTGGAAGATTATGTCTTGCCTATTTCCTTGGAGCTGGTAAGTGATAAAGCAAGTTCAAGTTCAGGGTTGCCTGGCACCAAAACCTGAGAAAAAGAGGGAGAGAGATCTTCTACATGTTTTTTTTGTTTTAAATTTCTCTTTTGATTGTTAGTCCCTTCAGCCCTCCTAGCCAATGCCTGGATTGTGCTCCTTACCTGGAAAGGTCAAGGCTTGGGGTTTAGGATCGCTTGGCCCTACTCTCTGTTAACCGCTCTGCTCTCAGTTTCACCCCAGCATGTTAACACAATGTGTTTCTAAGAGTTTATTACACCAGAATCAAGCAATTAACCCAGACTTAACAGATTTCGAGAATTTTTTTTAGTGCCAAATGTGGTCACAATCACATCCTGTTCTTATAGACATCCCGATACAATAGAAAGAAATTTTTGATTTACTTTTCTCTTTCTAACCCACAAAAATTAATCTGATGACAAGTTGTTAATCAGACACACCGTAGACAAGAAAAGTTTTTGTCCAAGACGCAGTAACGAAAGTCGGTATCTCCAACATAACGAATGACAGACCACAGCCAGGAGAGCAAAGAACTCTGGGCCTACTACCGAGTTTTAGGTTTGAATCTGATTCCATCATTACTGGTTTGGTTAAGATATTTCCTGCTTATGCCTCAGTCTTCTTAGCTCTCAACGGGGGTAAAAAGTCCTCCTTTCTAAAACTTTATTAGAGATTTTAAAGCATTAATATGAATGAAAGTACTTGGCAAAGTATATGACATGAAGAAGACATTTTATAAAAGTTTTATGAATAAATAAATGAGTGAATCATAATTAAAAGAGACCTCTGATAATGAAAGGCAAATAAAATGATGCCCTTCCTCCGAGGCCTTTTTAAACAGTGGGTAACTCGTAAAACAAGCAGGCAAACAAGATTCAAAACCTTCGGTGGGTGTCCATGCCAGCACACTGTGCTATGAGCAACTGAGGCAAGGCTCACATTTGCCATCGAAGGAGGCTGAGGATTCCTTGAACAGTCGGGCATTTCCTTCTGATTGGTCTCAAGGCCAGAGAAGCAAAGCACATGAAAACCAAGGCCTGGAAATTCTTTCTGTCTTCTCATTGGGAGCAAAAGTGCGTTTCCCTTTGTCTTCATCTTCCAAACATACTCACTGTCTCAAAAGGCTTCCTTCCTTTGGTTCAGGAAAGAGATAAATCCTCTGCTTGGCTGTGTTATTTCGCCCCTCACATTTTTGTGGTGATGACAAGAGAGATCTTGGCTATCACTTTATATTTCCTCAGGGATAAGGCTGCTGACATGTGTCCATCCTTCTTCTGGAGGAAGTACAAGCTCTCAAATGACCTTCTTTCCAATGCAAGCACAGTATCCACTTCCTTTTTAATGCATCGAGAAATACATTCATCCTCAACACTTCTGAGTTATGTCCTAAATTATTTTAATAGTACCTTATTCAAATTAGAAAATAACTCTATAATCAATTCTGAAAACTTGGAAAACACGAAAAAAGCACAATGAAAAAAATTACTCATTATCCTCTAAAATTAAGAATAAGGCATTATTCTCACTTGGAGAAAATATATATATATCTCATCCTGGCATAAAAAAGGTGTTTAATGTGCTTCTTCCTCATTAAAACTTGTACTGCTTTCTCAGATCTGCATATGGAAGCCTTTTCTCATTAGCACAAAAACATGTTTTTAACCTCGAAACATAATACATTTGAACAAACAATATTCTATTTGAGATGAAATAGATTGTTTTACTTGTCCATGCTGGTTCTTGTTATTCCACCATGAATGTTAACAGATTTATGCTACAACTCAAAGTAACAAAAAAAGAATGTGGCAAAACAATCTGATTATTTCAAAGGGAAATGACTTTGATTCTTCTTTTTTGAGGTCAGTGTCATCAAATTATGCACAATTTATTTTTTGTATCATGTCATTTGCATTTTTTAGGCTTCTTTTTCTTTTCTGTTGTATGTTCCTTGCCATTCACTGAACAGGTTGCAAATAACAGATTTATGTGGATTTGGAGCCACTCTTTTAGGCATGTCTTTTTTGGCTTTGAGTGACAAATAATGCCAAATTCGCCTGAGGAACCTATTTCGCATCAGTTTCCCAGACAGACAATTTCAACCAGAGCTATAAATTGTATACCAGGACATATTCTCTGCCTAGCACTGTGACCCAAGCTTTTAAACAAAGGTGGTGACATGGATTCTAGAGTTCCTTGGGAGATAAGTTACACAGGGAAGTCCCTGGCCTTTGTTGGCCAGGAAGTTTATTATCTTCCTTTAAAGAAACAGAACAGCTAATGATTTGCTGACAGCTTATAAAGGGTAAGCCTCCTGCATAAGGAAAGTCACAATGCAAGGGACCACCAGAGGAGCAGTGCCTGAAGGGAAATGTGATGACCTAAAATAGCCTTATCAGCTCCTCGAGCCTCACAATGCATCAAAAAATGTGCCCTTATAGCAGATTCTGTAATCTCTCTTTCAAGTGTGGTTGCTGAGAATGGCAATTTTACCGTCTTTTTTTACTTAATGGAGGCCTGAGGTGATAGCAAATGATTTGAGAAGCAGGAAAGAAATTTACACTTTTGCATAAAAACCTTCACTTCCTCCCTGTCCGGGGACTTCACATTAACTTCTGCAGTGTTCCCAGTGGTTCTCAAACATTAACGTGCAGTAGAAATGAACATCCCTGTGAAAATGCATATCCCTGGGTCTTACATCCAGAAATCCTCTTTCAATAGGTGTGAAGGGCCAAACTTGACATAAAATTGTAACAGTTTATTATCGACCAACAGGGTGAGTATGGACTGAAATCCAGCCCATCCTTGTCTCACCAAGTCATACATTCCTGGTCAATCTTGAGAAAGGGCCACCTCTCGATTTTAGTTTCGACTTCTTGCCAAGCCTAATATATGTTGGGGATATATCGACAAGATCAGTGAGAGCTGGGGAAGCTTTTTAAAATTTGCACAAAGGCTCTCTATGCCCTGTTAGATTAGTCCAGGTCCTGTGAAGAGCAGATACCAAGACAGGGCTACAGATGCAAGAGATTAATGAAAAGGAGTGCTTGAGAAGGAAAACGAGAAGGAAGCCAGGAAACGCAGGGGGAGCAATCCAACAAGCAGAGAGGTCTCAGCCTTGTGAATAAGATAGGGAGCCAAGGAACGTTAGATGGAAAAGTCTTAGACTACATGTAGTTCTAGGATGAGCGTGGGAGACTGGAATTCAGGCGCCACTGCCTGCAAAAGTAAAAATGCCTGGGACGTCATTTCCGCAAGGTGGCACTGATTGCTGAGCCTCAGGGTGGAGGAGGCTCTCTGTTCTTCTGAGCCAGTGCGGAAGGCAAGCTTGGGGTCTCTCAGAGAGCCCCTTACCTGCCTAGCCTTTGGAAGAGGCATAGGGACCAAGAGAAGTAAACAGCAGCAGAGCTGTCACCTCTCTATCTTCCTGGTCCTGCCCAGAGTTTGGCCTGGTTCTCAAAATACCATCTCAGCCCAAGAAGGGTGTAGCATCAAAAGGAAATGGGAGAAGAGCTATTTGATAGTCAATGACCTGCGGAAACACTCATGGCACCTCACGTCCGGCATCTGTGAACTCAAGTCCTTCAGTTGGTTTTCGCATGAACTTCAAAGTGCATTCCTGGCACCTGCATGATGAGGCCCTTTCCCTTCCTCTTTCTCCTCACCTGCTGCTGATCTTTTAAAAATAAAAGCCACAGTCCCTCACAAGGCCCTTCCATAAGGATCTGGCTATTGCCCTCAGATCTAGGTCAACTGGGCCATGATTGGTTATTTCTGATAAATGTTTTAACCTCCAGTAGGTGGAATGATGAGAGCTCTAGGTCTCTTTCCCCCATAACAACCCTTTTCCCAGGTTGTCAACCAGTAGTTATTTGATTGCCTGTTAAACCATGACTCTCTCCCTGCACTGGACTGGTAGGACCATGGAAATTGAGACCTGGTCTGTGAGCTCACCTTACTCGTTCCTGTTTCAAATGGGTGCCCAATAGTTTATTTCTGAGTGGTTTTTTTTTTTTTCCTGTTACACTGCCAACCAGAAAGAACATAAACTGATGAGGATGGAGAGTATCCCCTCTAAATAATAACAACCACCATTTATTGAGCACCTAATATTTCCAGTCCCTACCACCACCTACCAGGATGACACTTGAACTGAATCTCAGAGCCAGCCATTGACTTTCCCAAAGGGATACAGCTAGCAAAGAGTTGACGTGGGGTTCGAACCCAGAACATCCTGATTGTAAAGTCCCTGCTCTCTCGTAACACTGTCGCATCTCATGTAGCCACTGCCCTAGCGGATGAGAGCAGCCCAAACCAACAAATTGGTTTGCAGAGTGATTTGTAGAGATCAGCTACATGTCAGTGTGTCTTCTCCTTCACCCACCTTATAAACATTTCTGCTATCTGTGCTGTGGCTCTGGTGTGCAGTAGTGCTTGGTTTGTATATAGCATGATGATAAACTGAAGCACCTGCCTGTGTTTGAAGCCTGACCACAGTCCCAAAGTGTACAGTTTACACCCTTCAGTTTACTAATATTCTGCAGGGAAGAAACAGAGGAGCCAGGGAGAACACGGTCTACAGGTGTGCAACTCAACTCCCTCTCCTCCCTGTATCAACAAGAAACACATGTTCTTCTAAAGAATTAGCCCGGTAACTCAAGTGAGCCATAAGAGTTGCCTTCTGAGAGAATGGCTTCCTCTGTGGTCTCTTTTTTAGAAGTCTCTTTTTCCAAGAACTACCTTTTCGGTTTCTATGAATGCTGATTTCTCGGAAAATATGTGGTATAGCAAGCTTGTGACAAAGGAGAGCTCTGAACAAATGTCTTTGTGGATGGGGGTAGGAGGGATGGGTGGGCAGGAAGGTGGACACTCCGCTAGAGGCCTCTCCTTACCCCTTGCCAGCTGGGTGACTTTGGGCAAGCCACATTACTACTCTGTGCCTCAGTTTCCTCAAATGGGACTAAAAATAAGACAAATAGGACTTAACTTCAGGAGATTGCTGTGAGTAGTCAATGCATGCATCCTTTATTATCATCTAGAACTCCATGTCATTCGCTGTTTTGCAGAAGGCATTTGCCTTGCTAACTTAAATTTGGGATGACGTTTGATCCTGCCTCATTCACACAAACACATTTCAGGGGCATTGTAGGGTTTCTGCTTGGTGCTCGCTAGTCTGGATCTGTTATTTAGATGGAACTCACCCAAAGAGGGATTAAATCCGTGTTGACTCAGCACTCATAATGCAGAACAACAGCAAGTATAAAAAGAAACAGAAATTTTTGTCATCCTCGTCACGGTAGTATCTTAAACTCCTATCACTTATTATTACTTTAACTCCTCTATTTGATTTTGGGCCTTGTGATTTCTGACTTTCTAGCTAAATGTCCCTTTGCCCCAGCATGTAACATAAGGCTTATCATGTAGTAGGTATTCTCTGAACATTTAGTGAATGACTGTGAAATTCTCTAATAAATGCTTATAAAAGCTCCAACTCAGGTCCAGCACAGCCCCAAAGTGCAAACTTTGTGCTTGTTTGGAATCAGTTTCTGAGTGAAATCTAAATTCCTTTGCTTGCCATGTAAAGCTTTTCATGGATTGGCCCCAACCGTCCTATTACGCCTCATCAACCACCACTTTTCCCAGACCCCAACTCCCAAGTTCCAGCCCCGGCAAATTTTTTATCATTCCCAGAACCGGCCATGGCCCTGTACACCTCCGAGACTTCATACTTGTCATTTCCTCTTCCTGAATCGCCCTTCCTTTTTAAGCATGGTCAGCTCCTACCGAGCCTTCAAAACCCCAGCTTAAATGACCCCTCCTCAGGGATGTCTCCTGGATTCCCCAGGGCGGCATCCACAGCTCCTTTTCCTGGTCTCCCTCAAATCCTGTCTAGTACACTAAGTAAGAGGCCTGGCTTTAGAGTCCTGCTAAAGGCCCAGCTAAATCCCCAGCGGTGCATTTTATAAAGTGTGAGTCTTTGGGCGAGTTACGTGACCCCTCTGAACTTCAGTCTTCTTGCGTGCTAACTAGCACCAATAGCAAACCCTGAGGGTTGCAATGGGAATGATTTAATGAGATAACTGTGAAGTGGATAGCAAATGCTCAAGAAATGGCAGGCAGTCTGAGGCCCCTGACTCCCCTGGGATTCACTCACCTCCCCCGTGTAACTTTAAGTGACACCAGCAGAGTCTTCAATTATTTCTTACCCCAGCAACCAGCACACTAACTGGCACATAGTAGGTGCTTAATGCATCCTTGCAGAATGCTCGCGTGCCGGCACAAATGAATGAATCTGAGTCCTTTGATTCCCTAGAGTGCCCAGGAGGAGCGAGTTCCCCCTGCAGCGGCAGAGGCAGTTGTGCAGAAGGCATGGGAGGAAATGGAAGCTGCTCATGCCAAGTAAGTTCAGAAACGTGCCCACCTCCCTGACTCTGCCCCCGCCCCTTACCTGCATATCCGTCTGTAAAATGGGTTTGCTAGTAATATCTATGTAATTACACTGGTTGAGAAAGTGGAATGAGATCATATACGTAAAATGCTTTGTGAAACTACACTGGAACCATAGAAATTGTTGTTGTTCCTATTAATAATCGCCGCTATTAGCAGACGACTCTTTGGTGCTGTGCACAGCACCCATGTCAAACACTGGGTCCACCATTGAATTTCTTTGTTATCCCATGAAAATGGTTTTTTGCAATTTTCAAGCCTTAGATGATTGAAGTGCAAAGATCCTTCAGAAAAAATTTGAGCTCGACTGTCTTCAGAAATGCAACATTGAAAGTTTTTATTTCATCCTCAGTTGAACTATGGTGTGGCTATTAGCACTGGCTCTCTATTTATATCTGTGGGCTGACAAAGCATCTTTCTTCTGAAGAGCTCCAGACTCAGTAAAAAATGATACAGGGATTAACATACGCATTACGACACAAAAACAGCAAAGAATAAAGGAAAGAAATAGAAAGAAGGAGCTTTAATATAGGCACAGAGGGAAGGTACATTTGAGAAGCCAACACTGATCCAACCATCTGGGAAAAATCAATGGGCTTCCTGGGTAACGCAGATCACTTTGGGTCTGACATCTGCCTGGGGTGTTTTGCAGAAAGGGTTTGGTGGAACAGCCTGTGAAACCTGTGCTGATGACAATTTATTTGGACCCAACTGCTCAGCAGGTATGTCTGGTTTTTGTGTAATCAAATACATTTGGAAAGGTTGAAAGTCAAACATGGCTTATTTATATAGCCAAAGCCCCCAGAAAGACTATTCCTTGTTCGGTGCAAGGGGAAGAATACTGAACAGTTATGCATAACCACGTCTACACAGGCAAAACAAAGAGTTGACAATAAATCTGATAAAACACCGTTTTTGAAAAAGTAGATAGTGTTTTCTGTGGTTTTCAGCTCTTGCAGTCAGCTACTCACCAGCGTGCTTCCTAGCAAACTTGGGGTCATACAATTCCCTCTCTCCAGGCTCCAGGATGCAACATCCACTGTTCTTAGCCTGCCCAGCTTCTCCCTGAGGTCTTTCCAGATCCTGGTCTCAGCATTGATCTTCTCCCCAGGGGTCGCTACTTCCACCATAAGTCCCACCACATTCTAATCTGCCCTTTCCTTTTGGGAGTTCACAATACCTGAGGTGATCAGAGGTTGTTGGCTCCCTTTTGTAGATTAAACAAACAATCAAACAAACAAACAAACCTGACGCTGGTTTGTCCACTCTCTTATTTTTGGTTCCCCCCAGAAGTAAACCCTAAACAAGGATTCCAGTACAAGTAGCATATTTGGAAGGCGACTCTGGGAAACACTAAGAAAGTGACATAAGGGAAATAATGCATGTGTTGTCAAGCCAGAGACCACTGTGGATGAACAGAGCTTGATGCCCTGGGGAACTCCGGAGTCAGGTGTCTAACACTCAGCTCAGAGATATCATACCCAAGGGGAGAGGGAGCCACCGTGCGGCAGGCAGAATAATGACCCTCCCAACAGATGTCCACATCTGAATTTCTTGGACCTGAGACTATATTACCTTCCATGGCAAGGAAGAGTTAGGGTAGCAGATGGAATTAAGGTTACTAATCAGCTGACCGTAAAACGAGATTATCCTGGATTAACCAGGTGAGCCCCGTGTAATCGGAGGAGGGAGGCAGAGGAAGAAGATGCAGTGTCAAGGTGATGACATGTGAGAAAGACTCTGCTGGCTCTTGCACAGTGATTTTGGATTTCTGACCTCCAGAAATGTAAGATAGTAAATTTGTGTTGTTTTAAGACACCAAGTTGGGAGTCATTTGTTACAGCAGCAATAGGAAAGTGATAGGTTCAGTCGCTGGGGGAGACTTGTTACTTTTCTGGCACTTAGCCCCCAGTGAGCGTTCATATGGAGCAGCCTTCCTAGGAAGTGTTCGCAGGATACTAGAAGTTGGCTGCAATGCACAGAATTGGTAAGGCCTAGAGAATATGGGCATGGTAGGGACAGTGTCTGCCAGATCCATTGTCACCCAAAAAGGATGCGTGTCAGGTGGCCTTTCTCCAACACCACCTCAGTTCTGGCTTTTAGGGAAAAATCAAATTCAGCAGATACTTCCTTGATCCAAAAATTTTTGCAAGAAAAATTACGTATCCCACCCCCGTAAGTGTGCGCACTTCGTAATAAGTTTCATTTGCAATAGCAGAGGCATCGTCTCATTCTAATCCACGGGCTCCTGGAAGGCAGATGCCATTATACCTCTTTATCTGCCTTCCACAGTGCTACCTGCATGGTAGACACTCACTCCACTTCTGTTGGCTGAATGAATAAATGAGTGAGTGTACGAACAAATGAAAGATCTATTTTGCTCCGGCCATATTGTCCTGACTCAGAAGCGGGGTTTTGAGAAGCAACATGTAGAGTTCCAGCTTTAGACTCAGATTGGGTTTCAGCCCCAAAGCTGCTAATTGTGGGAATCTTAAATTTACAAGCACAGTCTCTGTATCTTCATCTATAAAAATAGAAATAATATTGCTTCCTTTAGGGTTACTATGAGAATTTAATGAGATCAATCAGTGTGCAATAAATGTTAGCAATTATTATTATTATTGCCTGTTATTTCCTAGTGATCCCCAGTTTTTGGACTTTCTTCGTCTACCTCTCCATAAGAGATTATTTCATAAGAGTGTCAGCAAAAGCCAATTTAAAACAGATGTTGGAATCCCGTGTTTTTAAGATTATACATTTTATTAAAGGAAATTAAACTAAAATATGGTCAATCAACTGCCTAGAAATAACATGCCTCCTAAACTGGCCTTTCTCTACCATAATTCAAGCATTTAAATCACACATTTTAAATAAATATTGAAATGGAAAGAAACCATATCTAGCATTGCTTGCTTCCCCAAAAAAAGTCAAGAAATTGCTTTGGGATGAAAATTTAGAAAGAAAATGAATCCACGTTGTCTCCAGGAGATGGTTTTGGTTGCCAGTGGGCACAGGTGTACATAGTAAGTCCGAACATTTCTAAATAAAATGGCATTTCTTCGCACTTGTTTGTGCCGTGGAGAAAGAGCAAGTGAAAAGAAGAGAGATGATTTAGAAACCCAAAGCGTTAAGAAAACCAGAAACCTAAACTGAGAGTTGGAAGAAAAATTTCCACAGTCTAGACTCTAATAGAACTTCGTGTGGAGATGGAAATGTTTGGTATCTGTGCTGTCCCACGGTGCCTCCAGTCACCTGTGGCCACCGAGGACCCGAAATGGGGCTAGTGCAACTGAGGAAATGAATTTTAAATTTTTGTTCGTATTACTTAATTTAAATTCAAATAGCCACATGTGGCTAGTGGCTGCCATATTGGAAAGCTTGGCTCCAGAACGTATGATGACTAAGAAAAGGCTTTGCCGTCAGATTGGCCTGAGTTTGAAAGCAGCTGCTGCGTGATCTGGGGCAAGCTATTAAACCTAACCCTTCCTTACCTGTAACAGAGAAATAATAATACTTGCCTCACTGGGTTGACAACACAGCAATGCTTTTAGCAGCATGGCACAAATGCTCAATCAATGAAAGCAAGTATTAAGAGAAGACCAAAGCAATCCAACATGAGTGAACATTCATTCACTTGTGAATGAACGAATGGGTGGAGAATGAATGAATGGCTCAGCAATGGCTGGTCATTTTCCACTGGCAAGGAGTAGGGGAACTTGGCAAACCTTTTCAGCCAGACATCCACTGGGTGCCAGTGTTGTTTCATCCAGCGAGTTGTTGGTCCCTTGGAGGTGGTGAGTCTGCTGTAAGTAGGACAGCTCTATTAGATGCAGTCTATTTTTAACACTGACTTTAACCTGCTGCCAGAGCATTCTCCTACCCGACTGGTGATTAATTTAGATGTGATTTAGAGCTGCGTCAGCCATGAGTTTTCATCTCTGCTGCCAAGGCCCTAGCCTGCTCAGTGCCTCACTCCTGGGTTGAGGTAGCATGCAAAGCCCACTCTCTCTGACATGACCCCTAAATCAGTCCCACAGTCCTGTCTCATTAATTAACAGAAGCCAGCGTTTGCTGAGCACCAGCTGTGTTCCAGACAGTGTGGGAATGGGCTTGACAGACATGGTCTCTTTGGATCCTCACAGCAATCCTTCAAGCTGGGTTCCTCCTTTTATGGATGAAGAAGCAGAGACGCTTCTCAAGGTCACACAGCAATTATTGGGACAGAGGCAGGATTTGGCCCCAAGTGGCGGAGCCCAGAGCCTAAGCAGAATTGCATCATTCTTCCCTTGGAGTGCATTCACCATTAGACCCCTGAGATCCAGAGAGTGGAGAGATTAGGTCCCCACCCCCAAGGAGCTGGAAACACAGCGGACAATTATGATCTAATGTGTACAGCACCACGGGATGTTATGGAAACATAGGCGAGCAAGCAGCTCACTCTGCCAAGGCGCCTGGCCCAAGGGCCTTTGACCACGCTAAAGTCACACACCCCGAGTTTCATATGTCTCTAGAGATTTGCAGCAAAAACTAAGGACTCTTTAAATGACATCTGAGAGTCCCTCTGCTACTCACTTCTCCTTCCCAAGGACACTTTCTTGGCGGCAGCTGGCAGCCCTGCAATACGTGTCAGAAGCGCCCGGAAGTTGTGCCAAGTTAGTTCATCCAGTACAGAGGCTGAACTGGAAGGCGGGACACAGGGAGAGGCTCACGCCAGGATGAGGAGATGAGCAACAGGACAGCTCTTGCAGTGAGCATCTAAATTAGGAGCAGGGGCTGTCACATTTAACTCCCCCCGTCCACCTCCTCACCTTCTATTGACCGCATGACAACACTTAGGACACGTACTGTCACTGTATCTCTTAGAGTGAGTCTGGCTTCTGCACTGCACTGTGAGCTCCTTGAATTTAGATATTGTGCATTACTCATATTGTATACCCCATGCTTTATACAGTGCCTGCCACTAGGTAGGAGCTGGAGTGATATTTTTTACTTGAATTGAATTGAGTCTTTTCTGCTGAGACCGTGGTTCACCCCCTTTTCTCCCCAGTTATCTCCATGACCAGTTTGACTTCTCTTGGGAACTCGTCTGTTCCAAAAAATAAGCCATAGGTGGACGTCGGAGTGCTTCGCCGAAATAGAAATAGTGGCAGATCGATTTTTGAAGGAAGGGTGACAAATGCAAATCTGATTAATTCTTCACCTATTCGAATAAGTTCTTGAGCTAGTTATCTCTCATTTTTTGTATATGATACCTAACGAGATGCTGTCAGCGTTAAATGAGATAATGCATGCAAAGCACGTGGCAGATTGCTTGGTAGGTAGCAGTCGCTCGGTAAAGGGAAGTACAGGGCCAGTTCCAGGATGAGGCCAGTGAGGGACATGCCTCGGGGCCAGGATTTAAGGAGGCATCAAGTCCTCAGTAATCGAGACAAACCATTTTGTTAGTTATCTAGGGCTGCTGTGACAAAGTACCACAAACTAGGTGGCTGAAAAACAGGAATTTATTGTTTCAGTTCTGGAAACTGGGAATTCCAAATCAATATGTTAGCAAGGCCAGTGCCTTTCAAAGCCTCTAGAGGAAGATCCCTCCTTGAAGCCTCCAGCCCCTAGTAGCCCCACGTGTTCCTTGGCTTGTGGCAGCCACACTCCAGTCATTGCCTTTGTCATCACACGGCCTCCTCCTCGTATGTCTGTGTCCTCAACCCTTCTAATAAGGACCCCAGTCGTACTGGACTCAGGCTACTCTACTCCGGTCCGACCTCGACTGAGCTACTTAACATCTGCAATGACTCTATTTCCACAAAAGGTCATTCCGGGGTGCTGAGGGTTTGGATTTCAATATCGCCTTTTGGGAAACAAAATTCGACCCACGACAATCATATTTTTAAATTATTGAACAAAACGTCAAAATGTTAAATAAGGCAGGATCCGACTCTGTACTTTTGTGCCATCCTACCTCCTTCTTCTCACCCTGTTCCCTGCCTCGCCCTCCTCATTCTGGCCCTGCAGGATGCTGTCTTCATTGGAATTTTAGTTGTGCGGTTTTTGGTATTGTTGTCAGGCACTGTAAAGAGCTAGGCTAGGATGCTGGCGACATATCCAAGTAGTAAATCTTGCTTCAAATGAGCCACAAACTGGGTGCTAAAGGGTTACCATTTATTTCAAAGGCCTTTCATTTCTCATTCCTGAAATGATCTGTCACCAGGCTGAAAAGATATCTATTTCAAGCTAGAAAGCATGGCACAGTTTTTCTCTGCCCTTTTGAATTATTATTTTTTTTTTATACATGCATCGCCCCATCGTTCAGGAAGTAGGATTTATTTCCATATATTTCCTGTTACCAGTGGTGATCGAATCAGTGGCAGCTTTTTCTCTTCTAAACATGACAGATGTATATGTAAGAAACTAAGTTAATTCTCTTGTTGAGGTGTCCAAGGATGAAGTAAGTAGTTTGAAAGTAGAGAAAGGAACTCGAATACACCTGACATGCCAGGTATGCAGGTTTGCTTTATATATATTCTCTCATTTAACTCTATAGAAATCCCATGAGGGAGGCATCATGATCCACAGGTTATTCACAAATAAATTGAAGCTCATAAAAAGAAAATGAAGTTAAGATTCAAGCCAGGGGGTCTAGGACTTCAAGCCCATGGTTATCCCTACCTCATCGTACAGATTCTCGAAAAACACGATCTGAAAACATTATCCTTCCAGAATGCTTAGAATTCTGTGTCAGGTCATGATAAAAAATGCCCGTTTTCTGTCTGCAGTGTGCAGCTGCGTGCATGGAGTATGCATCAGTGGGATAGCCGGCAATGGAACTTGTGAGTGCCACTCTGCCTACACGGGCCCCAACTGTGACAAGCGTAAGTGCTGCTAGGTTCCTTCACGCCACCAGATCGAATAGGCACAGATGTGTGCATTTCGATTTCGTGTTCACATACTGGGGCTCGACACCAAATGTTTGGCTAGAAGAAAACCAAAAATTAAAAGGAGAGGAAAATAAAGGAAAAGAGGAGAGAGAAATGAAAGGGGAAGAGGTAAGGAGAAGGGGAGAGAAGAAATCATAAAGAAGATTGGAAGTCTAGGAAGTTTCGGGAGCAACATGGTGACATGGCTAAGAGCTATGTTTTGGGAAGGGCAAGCTGGTGGCAGTGTGAAAGACAGAATGGAGAGGAAGACATTGGGACTGGGAAACCAATCGAGGCCATCACAAGGTAGGCACCTAGTAAGTCGCGTTCTTAGTTCTCAAAATTAAGTTCTCAAAAACAGAACACGTTAACAAGAAACAGAGGCTCACCAGTTAGGCTCCAGGGATGCTGAAGGATACACCGAAGTTCACAAAACTAGTAAATAGGAGAGCTGGGGCTCAAATCACTTGAAATTATTTAAACAAACTATCATATTGGATCCAATCAAGAGATAGAAGCCACAGAGTGATTGCAACAAAGGAAGTTTAATATTGAGAGTTAGTAAGCTATGATAGGAGAGTGACTATAAAAATGCAAAGTGAACTCTAGGGCTGACTGAGCCTAACAAAGGAAGAATGAACTTGGAAGGGGGTGGCCATCCCCAAGACTAAGTTCAAATCTTGTTCAAGAAGATGCTGTTGCAGCCCACTTGGTGGAGGAGAAGTTTGCTGGTTTGCCCAAGCTAGCATGGGATCACAGTCAGCTGGCAGGCGAGCAGCGACCCTCCAGGACACTGATGAACCGCGGCTGGTGGGCGAGCACACAGAGGGAGTTGGGGCACTGTGGGTGCTAAACTTGGAGTATGCAACGTCTGTGTGTGGAAAGGGCTATGGGAAGGTGGTCACAGGGTCCAGACCAAAATTGCAAGGTCACTGACGGACTGTGCAGTCTGCGTGCACGGCTGGGGCAGAGTATCACTGGATGTCCTCACATAGCCACACAGCTGACGGACTATGCAGCAGCAAGAAAGCAAACAGCAGAAGCATGACACTGCAGGACAGAACCAGGAAGAGCCCCTTCCTCCTGCAGTGGGCCTCTAGTGCCCCCTACTGGCCAAGCTTAACATAGCACACAGAAGCATGACACTGCAGGACAGAACCAGGAAGAGGAACCCCTTCCTCCTGCAGTGGGCCTCTAGTGCCCCTTACTGGCCAAGCTTAACATAGCACTGTAAAGAAGAAATGTTCAGAGTCCTGTCCATTCTCACAGAGCAGGTGAAGAAGGGTGATTTTGGAGCTTAGACATTAAGAAATTGGACATTCTGCCTGACACTAGACTCGTTTAACTTATCCTCGGGATACTACTCTCCTGGTCTGTAAAATGAAGGGATTGGACGAGATTCAAATTCAACAACTTTAAACGCATTTTATTGAAAACCAGTGAGAAGCTATGAGCAATGATGGTAAAGGGGATGAATAAAACACAGCTTCTGCCATCTTCCCATGGAGGAGCCAGACATGCAGACAACAAGTTTGATTGGCTGACCCCTTCTGCAATCCTCAGTCAGCCTCCTTCCCCACCCACTCATGATCAAAAGGCTTTTTAAGAAGACAGGAGACCCAGGCCAGAATCCAGCTTAACGGAGAACGTAGACATGTTTTCCTCCAAATGACAAAATAATTCTGTTGCATCATAAGACACACAATGGACTGGCACAAAACTATTTACAAACCACATGGCAGAAAGGTTTTTATAATACTATAAAGTCCCTGAACTTAATTTTAAAATTGGCCAAGGAGCAGCTTAATTCTCACAAGAGATAAAAACTCACCAAGAAGCACAGAAAAGGTGCTGAACCCCACTAGGAATCACAGAAATGCAAATTGAAACTGTAATGAAGTAGTGTTTTGGAGTTTTGGAGGTGATGTTTTGGTTTGGTTTTTGTTTTTTGCCCACTATGTCACACAGATTGAAATGATAGATAATATCTATCTCTGGGTGTGAGGAAAAATTACAGTACTGTCAGTGGGAATAGGAATTGCTACAACCTGTGAAGAAAATGTATCTATTAAATTTTAAAGTATGATCACAGTTCGTTGCTGTGGCCCCAATTGTAGGAATTTACAATTTACAGGAGGGATAAGCACCAGTAGTCAGGAATATATATGTACGAAGAAACTCATGACAGTGTTGTCTGAAGAACAAAACAAACTGGAAACATTGAGCGTCCACCAGTAAGAAATGGTTGGATCTTATGCTAGTTAGAATAATGCCAGCTGCTGTCAGAAATAAACACAAAAGTTCAATAGCTTAACAGGATGGTTTCAAAACTGCTCCCAAGGCATCTCAGGGTACCACATAATCCTCACAAGGCTGCTATAGGATATTTTAAATGTCTGAGGAAAACAGTGATGCATCTGTAGAATACCGTTCAAACTACTAGCTTCAGTTAGATCACACTTTCAATGTTAGGTAGCACTATATTCCTTTCAATGATATCACATCTTTACAAAGTTACATTTTCAGTGGCCACTGTGCTAAAAAGCAAGGACTGTGCAAAAATCATTTTGGCCAGAACAAAGGTGTAGTTTCCAGTCTGGTTCTAAGGATTAAGAATTTGTGTAGTGTCCAACAAGCTCACACATCCCATTAATAAGTAAATGTGGTTATTTAAGAATGAAATAAAAATATTTATCTTTCTATTAACTACATTACTTTTCCAAATTGCTACTAAGTTCTTATGACATAGTTACTGAATTCTTCCGTTCTAACAACTTAATAAACGGACCTGGTAGATACTTCCTTTGGACTGGGGTGCCATGAAAAAGACACCAAGGGCACTGAGAATTTGGGGAACCTCTGGCTTAACACAACAGAGGTATATTTTTTAGTCTTGTCACAGTTCATTGTGGGTGTTTCTGGCTGACACCAGCTTCCCACTACATAGTGATTAGGGATCCAAGTCTTTCTATTTCGTGTCTTTGCCATTCTGTGGCACCCCAGAGTACTCTACTTTGAACCATAGAAGGAACCAGAGAGGATGGAGAAGCACCTGCTTATAAAGTCCAGAATAACACATAGAACTTCCACTCCGTACTCCATCAATGCAAACTAGTCATATGACCCCTCCTGGACACAAAGGAGGCCTGGAGATGTAATCCTGAAAGGCAGCCACTTTGCAGCAACAATTCTACTTTATGGAAGGGGTGGGGATGTTCTCTACGAATATTTTATTCAACTACCCACTGCCGGAAGAAATTCTTCATGGGCCTCTCATGGTTGTGTACATCCTGAGAGCAGCTCACTGGCTGCCCTTCGCTCCAAGCCCTTTTCAAGGATGTTCATATAGTGAATAGCCTTGGAAGATACAGAGTCTTCTTTGGAGATTACCTCTCAGCCCAAATTTGCCCCTTTTGCCTGCTCTGTGATAATGGTGGTGGGCTTTGGAAATATTTCTCATTTGCAAACCAATAAGATGTGATGCCTTATCAATAGAGGGTGCTGGAGGGACACTAAAGAAGGAAGGGTTTTCTCTTCCTGTTCCTGGTTTAGTTCACTCGCCAGGCTCCTGAAAAATAGCTTTTCTCCACAGCTCAGCCCTGTGGGGCTCGACTTCCTCCAGCATCCAGCCACTGTCTATTTTGTCTAGTGTGAGCCTCGGGCAGCAGCAGCACAGCCAGGAGTCCCAGACAGTGCAGGCTTGTGCCTGACCCAGGAGCATGCTGTCCTGTGCACCCTCTCCTCAGCTCCATGCACAACAAGAGCCCTACAGGGCTGGCCATCTGGAGAGCTGGCCACCCCACCTTCATTCCACACAGCTGGCCCCGGAAGCCACCCGGGCCCGAGGCACATATAGAAGTCCACTACACTTCTGAGAGGGTGGTTATTACCTCATGGTCCCAGGAGCTTCCCCGAGTACCAAGTGAGTTCTGAGTGTTGGCACCTCTCTGGGAATGACCTTCCCTGAAGCCCTAGAAGGAAGATTTCCGGCAAATTGCACCATGAAGGCACCTTAGCACCTTCTCCACCATCCAGTGACCAAAGCCATGCCCTTTCTGGTGACATCAGAATCTCAGCTCTGGAGGGAGGAGGATTTAGCTAGGGTACTGTCTCAACCCTAGAGCGGTGATTGTTCTTCATATTTCTGGTATTCCTTTATTATTTAGAATTCTTTTTAACCCCCACAAGCCAATTCCCCATTATTCCAATTCTCTGTTCATAATTCTTTACACTAAAACTTTCCCTAATCAAATTCTCGTGTGGTTTCTGTCTCCTGTGTGGGCCCTGATTAATATACATTGCCTATTATTAAACTAAAAATAAAAATTTTTAAATTAAAGAAAAAAAAAAACACATAGGTTTCCTAAGATTCGAGCTCCTCTCCTGTAATGAAACAAACAGTCAGATCTCAGTCCGGCCCCCTTTGCATTGCCTCCTGGGAATCGGAGCTTAGAAGAAATGGTGTGAAAATGCAGACTCTCTGAGTACTGCTCTTGATGTGAGTAATGAACTGTCTTTAATCTCTGACCCGGGAATCTCACGTCGTCGTCTACCAGCATCCAAGACACTGAATCAGCCCAATTTGTTAGCTTTGTAACATGAGTCTGATATGGCAGACTCTATAGTTTTTAATAACCATCTATATCCCATTGATATTATAAAATACTACTCAGTTATTAGATATCATTAGATATTAGATATATATAACCATCTATATCCCATTGATATTATAAAATACTATTCAGTTTTTAGATATTAAAGATCGTTAAAGACCTCTAGAATATATTGTCAACTTAAAAATCAAGTTTCTCAATATTTTAACAAGATTCCATTTTATTTAAGAAAAAATATGTAAATAAATTTATAAATAAGCATATTATACCGGTTGTTGACATTGGTTATTTGGGGAATGGGATGGGAGAGTGAGAATAAGAAGATAGTTAATTTTTACTTTATGCTTTCTGTGTTTTTTGAATTATTACAGCAAATCTATCTTACTTTTAGTAATAGGAAATACTGCATCTGTCGAGCGTTTTGTAACTGGTTATTCTGCTCGTGCAGTTACCTCAGCGATCTTCCTTTGCAGCCATCCCTGAATGTGCAGCTTTGCTCTGCCCACAAAATTCCAGATGTTCCCCTTCCAGTGAAGATGAAACAAAACTGGAATGCAAGTGCCTTCCCAGTTACAAAGGCAATGGCCAATTCTGCGAGCGTGAGTAGAATGCAGATCCTGCTAGTTTATTGATTGAGATGTTTTGGTTACTCAACAGAAAAAAAAACAAAAAGAACTTACGACCTCCCTAATATTAATGCAATGACCACTGCTATTTCTCTCTATGTCATTGAATGAAACATATAAACAGTTTTAAGCAAAATGCACATCATGAAACTGGAGCCAGACTCCTCGAGTTCAAATCCCAGATCTGCCTATTACCAACTACATAGCCTTGGACAAATGCTTTAACCTGTCTATACCTCTATTTTTCTGTCAAACGGAGATAATATGGTACTCACTTTAGACAGTTATCAGGATTAACTGAGTTAATGTGTGACAAATGTTTAGAAACAGAACCCAGTACATATAAATTCTATAAGCATTAGTGCTTTATTTCATGCTATTTTATATTTACATCCATATATAACATGACATAATAATATATTACCACAATATCTGTAGTTCTAATCTCGGATGGCCATATGTAAATCTGTGTTGCAGGTAGGGGTGATCAGGTAGGGTAAGACGAAATGTTTCTTTATTCCCTCTCTTTAACCCGTTGAATGCCTTTGCGGCTTTGATGAGCTGTGATTGGCAGTCCCTTCACAGTTCAGTTTTCCTTCTCCATCCTGAGTGTAGTAACCGTCTCTTATTGTGTCATTGCCTCTCAAGCCATCAATCCATGCTTACAAAACATCTGCCACCCTCATGCTCGTTGCACATACCTGGGACCAAATCGGCACAGTTGCACATGCCAAGAAGGCTACCACGGGGATGGCCATGTGTGCTTACCAGTCGACCCCTGCCAAACTAACTTTGGACACTGCCCTACGAAGTCTACAGTGTGCATATATGATGGGCCTGGACAGGTGAGCGAATGGTGCATGGAACTGATGAGAACAGAAGTAGGACAACCCACTGGAGGCAAAACGTGCCAGAGGTGTAATTTGTCCTTTGTGCCCTCCATTCTCCCTTTCAGTGTTCTGTTTGGGCTTCCTCTCCAGACAGACCTGCATGTGCTCAGGGCAGATTTTAACATGTCCCCTCCCCCGTCCATCCTCTACACATTTTCCAAGCTGGCCAGTCAAAACTTAACTGTCCTACATTCTCTTCTGTCCCAGCCCTATATGTTGATTGACAAAATATATACACAACTCAAATTAGATGAACAAATTAACTGTTTGCCAAGTCTTTTCCTCTCCAGACAGACCTGCATGTGCTCAGGGCAGATTTTAACATGTCCCCTCCCCCGTCCATCCTCTACACATTTTCCAAGCTGGCCAGTCAAAACTTAACTGTCCTACATTCTCTTCTGTCCCAGCCCTATATGTTGATTGACAAAATATATACACAACTCAAATTAGATGGACAAATTAACTTTTTACCAAGAGTGAGTGTGTAATTGACATTCAGCAGCAATCCTCTAGTCTCTATCATGTCTCTTCAAGATAACAGAGCAGTCTGAGGACCAAAAATTCTCTGTCCTAAGGGATGAACACTGACAAAATGTCAGGCAGCATTGACAGATGGTAGGGATCGTTTCTGGGGTGAGAACCTGACCTTCTAAATCACATCACAACCTCAACTGGTAAAAGTTAGCCTGGTTAGGGAGCTATTGCTGAGGAGTTTAGTTGAAAGAGCCTTTTCCTTAATATATCATTCATCTGTCACATATTTACTGAGTGCCTACTGCACCCATAACTGCACGTCAGTGAAGGGAACCCCTCCGTACAGAAGGCCATCGGCTGCCTGGGTGAGAGGAGAGGTTTGAAGTTCCTGACGCACAGTCATGGGTTCCCAACAGTCTAAACAGCACCCCCTGGGAATGCTTCCAGCGGTCCCTGCAGAGAATCCACCCAATCTTATCTCCGAGGAAAAAGAATATATCACATGACATTTCTGCTATCAATTGCTGAGACAGGTGTGCAAGAAATTCAAAGGGCTGAACTCTCATCCTCGAAGTGAGGTCCCTCATAGGCAAAGTCATGTTATATTCTGAACCACGGTCCCAGCACCTTGGGAGTGAGGTTAAAAATAGTCTTTGTCTCTTAAAAAAATGTGTCCCAAGGCAGATTTTCATGTCTTAGAAACCCTCCATTGCTCAAACAAAAACAGCACATTCATTATTTCCATTATTCTAAAGCAGAATATTCCTTAGCCTCAGCATTAATAATATTTGGACCAGATAATTCTTTGTTGGGGTGGGGGGAGCTATCCTGAGCATTGTAGGAAGTTTAGCAGCGTCCCTGGCCTCTAGTGGCACTGCCTCCCTGTCCTGCCCCATTGTTAAAAATGTCTCCAGGTATTGCCCAATGTCTCAGTTGAAAACCATTATTCTAAAGCAACATCTGAACCTCAATCTCTACTCACCTATAGACGATCTAAAACTAGGAATTATGGTGCCAGCAAACAAGGAAACTGAGAAGATCACCTATCAACAAGGTACATGAGTTTCCCAGCAGATGAGCTGGACAGACAAGGTTTCCAATTCCAGATCCTTTGACAGAGTTCTAGTTTAAGCTCCCACTTGGGACATACCGCAAGTTAGTCTTCATGGCAGAATAAAAATATGAATTTAAGAAGACTATAAGCTTGATTTTTAATTTTTTAAAATTACAGTGGACATTCAATATTATATTGGTTTCAGGTATACAGTATAGTGGTTAGACATTTATATAACTTACGATGTGATTCCCCACAACAAGTCTAGAACCCACCTGACTCCGTATATAGTTATTACAATATTATTGACTGTATTCTGTAAGCTGCACTTTACATCCCCCAAAATCCTGCCCGGATCCATGTAAGTAAGTTTAGAAATGGATCCTTTCCCAGTTGAGCCTGCAGAGGAGCCCCACTACCCTGGTCAGCTACTCTGTTGCAGCCTCATGAGATATCTCGAGGCAAAGGATCTTCAAACTAAGCTGTGCCCAGATTCTTGACCATAGAAACTATGAGATAATAAATGAGTATTGTGAGCAAAAAAACAAAAAATAGAAGAAAAAGAAGAATATCAGCTTAAGTGTCTAACTAGAACCCTATTGTTTTTCTCTCCCTGTCCACTGCAGTCTCACTGTGAGTGTAAGAAACATTACCACAACTTCGAACCTGGAGTGGGGTGCAGTGTGACCGATATCTGCGCATCTAATAACCCCTGTCATAGGAATGCAAACTGCACCACCATCGCACCGGGCCAAACCAAGTAAGTCTTTACAGTTTTACCACCATCTTTCTAAGTGGCCAGTTGATGCTGTAACTTCTTGAAGAGCTGGAAATGTGTCTTATTCAGCCCTGCATCTACGCCCAACACCACATAGCACAATGCAAGGAACGTAGTAGGCACTCAATAAATCTTCATTTAATGAACGAATCGTTCAAAAACGGTTTCCTTTGCGGTGACCATTAGAACAATCTGAAGTACTGACCTGGCCCGCTAACATGGTATTAAGTGGTCAGAGCCTGGGAGAAGGAAACCACTCTCACTGGGAAAACAAATGTCTGTTGCAATTGCAAGGGTTTGACCTCTAAGGTATATGCCTGTTTCCTCCTCTATGAAATATTACTTGTCAGTGGTGCAAAACAAGACGAGAGAAAGTGAATAAACACTAGTGGTGTTTCCTGGACTCCAGGTTTCTAAAGAAAGGGTTTGCTGTGAGTAAAAATATTTGTGTGACAATTCCTGAGGCAGAGACAGCTTGCATGGTGGGGAGGAGATGGTACTTAGAGTTTAAAGACCTGGGTTTGAGTCTCTGCACTGGTATCTATCAGCCCCGTGACCTTGGGAAAATGACACCATCTCGCTGGCCTCAGTTTCTCCGTGTATTAAATGAGCACAACGATGTCTACTTCTTAAAGTTGTTGTGAAGGTTATGTCAGAGAACATTCTGGAAACTGCAATACAGCTTATTATGTTGTTACTAGCGGGTAAACTGAGGCTAGAACGGACGTCTTTTGACTCCCAGACCAAGGCTTCTATCTCAATGCCACTTTCAGTTCTCATCATCATCAGACTCCCATTGTGAGCTCAAAACCATAAAAGACATCGAAGCGTGTAATTATAAAATAGTTTCTGTGGTTCCAGAGCTGCCTTCTCTCTCCTTTGGAATTCATTCCTTTTATAGCTGGGTCTTGAATATGTGGATTTGCCAAGATCGGTCTTGCAATCATCACATTCTATCTGAGCGCATCAGTAAATTGTTACTCACCGTGGGTGGAGTGGAAAGAGCTTGGGTGTCAGAACCTCTGCGTTCAAATCCCAGCTCTGTCACTTACCTTAGCCTCTCTCAAATGGTGTTGCCTCTGTCATGAAAGGGGGAGAACCAGGCTGTGAGGGGGATGACGTGGGACTACAATCATCAATCTCTGAGCAGCGCGTGGCACTGGAAGTCACTCCCTACGTGTGAGGCACACACAAACATGTCGCGGCCATGAAAAGGGCACATATGCACCCAACACGCATGCCGTAAAGGCACATCCCCTCCTGAAATACAGATTCGGGTAATAGTGACAACCGAACAAGCCTGCTTGCACTCTTTCTACCGTCCTCTGAGAGAGCTTGAGTAGAATACTCCAAACACTTTCTTTTCCTTCGTGTTTGAGAAGATGAAATTGAAAAATGATACTGGAACATCGGAATAATATAAGTTGCATTAAAACTTGTGTTTAGAATGTCAATGGAACAGTGCATTTTAGGGGTGTGTGTGTAACTCACAAACCTCCTTGATCCTCCCACTGCTCTCCCCGCCAAAAACTGACTATCTTCAGCTGAAAAGAGGCCTAGGTAAAGGTTGGCTAAGTTACATTGATAAAATACGGGGCCGTCAATAATTTAGTTTAGGAAATTTAGTTCACCCAGGATAAGCAATTATAAAACGAAGGCTTATTTTGTTTATGCCGCCTCGATATGGCCATCAGTTTATGTAGCGTATTCAGAATCATACTGTGTTAGCCACAGAAGACTACTCAATGAACAATAATGGGTTCAAATGTGGACCCCACCATTCACCACCAGGGTGACCTTGGACAAGTCATAGAATTTTTAGAACCACAGTTCCCTCCCCTGACCAGTCAAGCTAGACACCAAGAGTATCTCCCTGGGAAGAGCTACCACTTTCAACTATAAGCTCCATTTTGATTATCACTGAGGAGAACAAATAGCTTCATTTTTACTTTTACTCAGGAGAGGCGGCACGTCAGAGCCACAGAGGAAAAAGTCCTTCCTCTCTTATTTGGTTCAGTTCAACTGAAAAGACTAGATGCGACTGAGAATTTTTGGTCCTCATTCCAACTGTACAAATGTGCAGTGAACGACATTGAAATCTAGAGACTCTTGGAACACTAGTGACGCTGATGACATTCAGTGTTTGTATAAGATTTGTACAGGCTGGGATTTCTTGATGTGAACACCGAGAATCTTGTCCATGACAACATGATGCAGAGGCAAGAACATGGACTTTTTCAGACCGACCTAGGTTTAAATCCCAGCTCAGCTACTCCGAGATGTGCTTCCAGCAAAACGGCCTTTAGACCTGCGTGACAGGCGGTCCTTCCAGGGACACCACATTTTAGAGAGCCCCAGTTGGCCCTCTGCTGGCCACACCAGGGCAAGGAGTCTGAAGGACCCAGGGGACATGCTCTCCCAGAGAATAACCTTATTATTCTCTGCCCAAAGCACCTCCAGGACATGCACAGGCTTTTCCTGGGACCATTCCCCCGAAGTATGGGCAAAGGTGGCAGTTTGCTGAGGGTGCGGATGAGCCAACATTATCTCCATCACTCTCATGAACACATCCTTGACTCTAGTTCTGCTAGTACCTCTTATTCTTCAAATACACCACAGTATCCTCCCTGCTTAGGCACCCTTCCCTCCTACCAGCTCTGAGTCAAGCTAACACACCAATTCTTCAGCGTTCAGCTCTAGTATCTCTACCTCCAAGATGCCATTCCTGTGCCCCCATCCACTCAGACGCAATACCCTCTGGGCTCCCAAGGCACCCATCTATTACAGGTATCACCCTGAACTGTGATGAGTATGTAATAGGGTGGTGGTGAGCTCAAGCACTGTCACTTACAGGCTGTGTGATCTCGAGTGAGATACTTAACCCTCTGAAATGAGGCTAATAACAGAACCCCCATAGGAATGTTGTATTAAATAAGATATCATAGTAAGGCCTCTAGAAGTATAACTGGCATAGGAACTATCCATAGATGTTAGCTATTATTAACATTACTGATCTCAATCCTCAGCTAGAATGTAAAGTCCTTGGGGGGGTCCATGTCATATTCATCTTATTGCAACAACTCCTGTCCCCCAGTGAAACAACGTAAGTTTGGAGGAACAAATGAATCAATGAAGGAATGAAATGAATAAGTGAAGGAATGAAGGAAGCAACAGTACTAAGAGTTTGGGATGCCCTATAATTAAATAAAACTAAATCTCATCCAGCATTAAACATAATTAATCCCATCCCATAAAGTATAAAATGCAAATGGCTTATGGGTGTTTTTAAAGCCTTAACAGGAGATCTTTACACCTGATAAAGAACCAGTTTATAAAAGAGGCAATGCTGAGAATGGTCCCTTAGTGCAACTGAGACCATTTAAGTTGGAAAATTATCTCATGAAGTCTCAGACTTTGGACCAAGATTTTAAATAAAAATAAAAAATATTTATGTCTCAGACACTCCATTCAACACTGAGGCCATTAAAATACAATTCTCCTGCCATCCTTATGGAAAAACAAGTCAAGTCCTTCACACAAAACATTGGCCTCATAACAGCTTAGGGAAGTTTTAAAGAGAAACATATTTAGTGGTTTGTCAGAGTTACTTGTCTTCCTATTAACAGTTGTCTTCGAATGAAACTTATGTAACTCAGGGCAGGATTAATTTTCAGTGATGACTATGTATCATTTTCAGGAGTTACCAGTCCCCCTCTTCGCCTTCTTGAATTAACCATCCCGTGTCACAGTGCTCACAGAGAAGGCTGCTGTTTAAGTAGGAAACCGTTGTTCGGTTGTATTATTCAGTTGTAGACTCTTGCTTCATGGTTAGATTATTCGGTTGTAGACTCTTGCTTCATGATTAGATTTACCCTACTGGTTTCCTAGAGCAGGGCTTCTCCATCCCAACATGGCTGACGTTTGGGGCCAGATAATTCTTGGTCGTAGGTGCTGCCCTGTGCACTGTAGGATGTTTGGCAGCATCCCTGACCTCTGCCCACCGGATGCCACTAGGAACTTCGCTCTAGTTGTGACAACCAAAAATGCTTCCAGACATTACCAAATGTCCCCTTTTGGGGGGGGGGAGTGGGGGATGGGCAAAATTATCCCTGGTTGAACACTACTGCTTTATAAAAACCCTGAAGACTCAATTAGTAAATTTATCTGGCTGGGAAACTCATATGTATCCTTCTAGAATTACCTTAAATTTCTATCTCCTAGAATCTGTTCTATATTTCTCCAGGCATAATTGGTCACTTCCTCTTCCATGCCCCATGGCATCCTATTCAGTCTTCTCTCGTGGCTCTTACTATGGAATTTAAGTCATCTGTTTATGGACTTGTCTTGCTATGTCCCAGCCCCTCCACGTGACTGTGGTTCTTATTGCCACCATTTCCATCTTCACCGCCATTGTGGTCATCATCATCGTCATCATCTGCCAAGTACTGAGCTTTTTCTATGTGTCTGTCAGTTTGCCATCTATTTTTCATGCATTGTCTCTTCTACCGACAGCCCTAAAGGCATTATTAAACTTATTTCATAGATAAGGAAACTGGAACTCAGGAGGTTAACTGGCCTTACCATGTTGCTATAAATTATTTGTTTTCAGGTTCATCTCTAGCACATCAGATGCTGCAAGGGCACAGTATCTGTTATTATCATCTTTACAGCCCTCTTAATTCAAGGTTCCCAGAATTAAGTAAGTACTTAGAAAATAATCCATTTGACTGTGAGGCAATGTCCCCGGTGCTGAGATACAGTGAGGAATTGGGTAGAATCCAAGTTCTAGAAGAGCTTCCCACCTAGCAGAGGGAAAAACACCGCAAGAGGTAATTTTGATGGACAGGGCTGTGATGGAGGTATCACCAGGATACTCCTGGCAGGGGAGAGAGTCAGGAGGTCAGATAAGGCTGCCTAGAGCAGGTCGCACCTGAGCTATAAGGTGAGGCTGGGAGAGCATTCCTGGAAGGGCACATGGCCTGAGAAGGTCATCATAGTCTAAAAAAAAGCAATTTGGTGTAGCTGGAATTTGCAGTGAATGGCAGGAAAGAGATCATCAGGATCCCCTTTCAGGGCTTTGCACGCCATGCTAAGCCCTTATACCTTGTCCTGTGGGTGAAAGGAGTCCCTGAGAGATTTAAGCACAGAGGTACCATATTTCCCTTCTGGAGAGACCACATAGGGGGTTGTGTGAAGGATCGATTTGAAGGGAGGAAAACGAAGGACAGAAAGACCAGTTAGGAAGTCGTTGCAGCAATCCGAGCAAGGGGCGATAAGACTCTGAAACATTTGTTCGGCAAACTTGTTGAAAATATTTCTATTGGGCATGGGACCACATTTATAAACACGACTGGATTGATGAGTTATCTCTGAGGTATAGTATAACCGCAGCATCCCTGCATCTGTCTTCTCTGAAATGTTCTTCCCTATGTCATATTTGGTTCCCCACTTACCTCCAGGATCCTGATGAATGTCACCTTCCTAAGCACCTTACCGATTTCAACCAGCTGTCAGCTCATCTTTGCTGGGCAGTAATGGTGTGCTAGAGCCAGGACTTACTGATTCGCCAGAGCTGATTGTTAATTTTTCAAGGACTTTGCAAGTTGGTTGGCATCACGTTGGTAGTTCGAGACTGGCCGAGGTCGGAGAGTGAACCATGCAAATTAGAAAATGCTGAAAACTGGGGCTCCCCCACTCCCGGCTCCGGAGAGCTGATTGTGCAACATTTACCAGCACTCCACTGCTGGCATCTTTAACTGTATCTTTAACTCTCTTTTTCTTTTATGAAACTAAAGTATGGCATAAATTCTGTGACTTTGTTGCTTCTATATTTTAATTCGGTGATGACTTGTTGCACAACTATGAATTAAGTACCTACTATGGACTATGCCCTGTACTAGATCCTAGGATTACAACAGTTAATAAATCAACACAGCCCTTGCCCTTACTCTTTACTCAAATTAGATAGGGAAGCAGATATTAATCAAATAACCCCTCAGTTAGGATGCAACAGACACCAGTGACACAGAGAGGAGCTATATAGTACCACGAGGGCACAGAATAAGGGGGACCTGATCTACAGTGGGGAGTTGGGAAGGGGATGGATGATCAAGGAATATTTCTCTAAAGAAAGGACAGTTGAGCAGAGATCTCAGCTCGGGGGGAAGGGGAGGGGAAGAGTCTTCTTGGCAGATCAATAATTCTGAATCTTTACTTGCAGCTGGCTTCAGAAGCTTATTCTGACTCAGTGGCTCTGCATTGGGGCCCTAGAATCTGCATTTATATCACTCCAAGTGATTCTGGTGTCCATGATCTCTTGATCACACTTTGAAACACACTAAGGCAAAGAGTATACAAAAATATCTAGTGTTTATAGATGTGCATAATTTATTAAGTATCCATTTCTCGTGGGCCTACTCTATGTCAGGTACTGCAGTGGGAGTGCTCACCTGTGTTCGTGCCTCCCCTCTCCTGGCCTTGTCCCTGGCCTACCCCCTGGGCATCACTTTCCTCATCTTTTGCAGACAAGGAATCAGATAAGAGAGACTTAGACTGTAGGATCTCACCAATCAATGGCTCTGAGACCCTGAGAATGTGTTTTCACCCTCTCTATAGATGCACATGCCAGAAAGGTTACGTGGGCGATGGCTCAATGTGTTATGGAAACATCATGGAGCGACTCAGAGAATTGAACACTGAACCCAGAGGAAAATGGCAAGGAAGGCTGACTTCTTTCATCTCGCTCCTGGGTACGTGGCTGCGGGTATAGATTTCCACACTAAGGGCGACCCTCTTTCAGGCAAGGGCATCTGCAAGATGCAATCATTCAGAAAACGGCAGGCGAGCGAGGCAAGGCTTGTCTCTTGGGATCAGCCCTTCTCGGGAAGGGTCATGTAGGTGAGACAAAAAGCACAGGCAGCTGTTTCCAAGGAGACAAGCAAGAGTTAGTGCCAAGAGATCCGGCAATGCAATAATTAGGAGGCAGAGAGCTGAGGACAGGGTCCTGGGGTTGCCACAGATCAACAGGTCTACAACAGC